GATGTACGGAAAGGTCGTCTTCTTCCTAGCATCGGAGGCCGCCGCCCAGGAGGCAGTGGAGAAGGGGCTGGCGGTGGGGGGCGTGTATGTCCCCCTGGAGCCGCTAGAAGACCTGGGCGCCCGACTGGTCCTGACATCTGTCCCTCCCTTCCTTCCAAATGCCGCCCTGTTACCCGCCCTCTCTACCCTGGGGAGGCCTATCTCTGTGGTCAGCCCTCTCCCATTGGGCTGCAAAGACCCCGCCCTCCGTCACGTCCTCTCGTTCCGCCGGCAGGTTCAGTTACAACTGCCGCCGGCGGCACGTGATGGTGAGGCGCTCGAGGGGTCCTTCTTGGTCCCCTACCAAGGGGCCCGCTACCGGGTACATTATTCAACGGGGGAGGCCCGGTGCTACCTCTGCCGGGTGATGGGACACGTCCAGAGGGACTGCCCTTTGGCCCAGCACGGAGGGACATCCGGGACCCCCGAGCCCCGGCAGGGCGCCGGCCCCGTCATCGCCGGCGCCCCTAGCTGCCCGGCACCTGAAGCCGCCCCTCCTCCTTTCCGGCCCACCAACGCTCCTGCTTGGGCCCAAAGGGTATCTCCCCCAGTGCGCCTAGACGAGCGAGAGGGCCCCGCCTCTGCCGCTTGCGATCTGGCGGGGCCTGTGGAGGAGGGTGAGGTGAGGATATGGCCGGGCATAGAAGAGAGCATGCCCCAGAGAGAATCCTCCCTCCTACATGCTGCCCCACCATTGCCTCCCCGAGTCCCTAAGCCTTTGCCCTTGCTCCCTGACCTGACCCCTGTTAGCCAGCCCCTGGATGATGCCATGGAGGGCTGGTCCTTAGTACAGGGGAAGCGGGGCAAGTGGAAGGCTCGAGCTCCGCTCCTCCCATCTGATGCGGTAGCCCCCCGGAAGACCAGGAAGGGGGGAGCCGATGCTGAGCCTTCCGCTTTGCCCCCGGGTGGGTTTTGTCCACCATTGCCGGCTAGGGAAGACGTGGCAGCATCGGAGGAAATCACTACCCGTCCTCCGGTGTCCCTTCCTATGGACGCCCCTGATGGAGCCCCTCTTGCCCCCTTACAATCTGAAACCCCTGCACGCACCAAGGCGAGCGTCGCTTCGGGTGCAGGCGGGGAGAGCCCTGGGGTGGTGGAAGGTGATCTCCCTTCCGTTTATGAGGATTTCGAGGCCCTGGGTCTGACCCCGGTTACCCAGGGGGAGGACGACCCTCTGCCAGCGGGCCTCGATCTGAGCGACCTCGTCTCGGCCCCCCTTTCCCCATGTTCCGTCCCCTTACCCACTGCTTCCGCTCCCGCCTCCGAGGAGCCCCTGGACTCTTCCAGTAACCCGTCCGCAGATGGCACCCCGCTAGCTTCGCCCGCCCACTTCCTGGATCCCGATAGGTCTGGTCACTCAGGGAACAGAAAACTACTCATCCAGTGACCAGTATATTTGCCCTCTACCAGACTCCTGTATCCCACTGGTCTGGGTCTGTCACAGTATGTATGTATAGATATACATAAATACAGGCATACAGATTGACTTCGTACAATTTCTCCTGATACCCTTGAATTTGTGATCAGCTTCTCAGAGTCTTGCATCTAGTGAATCATTTACGTTCACATAACTGTGCTGTACCTCCCGAACTGTGTGGGTACGTCTACACTCCATCTGGGAAGTGTAATTCCCAGCTCCGGGAGATGTGCATGTGCTATCTCTGACTGAGCTAGCACACTAAAAATTAGCAGGGTGGCTGTAGCAGCATGGGTGACAGCTTGGGCTAGCCCCCTGAGTACAATCCTGTCCGAGGTCTTAGGTATGTACTCGAGTGATTAGCCTGAGCCGCCGCCCATGTGGCCACTACTATTTTTAGCTCAATTGGAGCTAGCGCATGTACTGCTCCTGAGATGAGAATTACAGTGCAGCCATGCCCTGCGCAGTCTGAGCCCATGTATTTCTAGCCCTGCTCTACTGCAATTCCAGCTCATTCCTTGGGCTCCCTCCCTGAAGTTAACAGTAACCTTCCAATTCCAATTTTCTCTGTGCTGCAGGATGTTGTGCCATCTCTAGGACTAAGTGTCTATCCAGGCCTCCCATTGCAAGCATTTTTAACACAGACCTCGTTCTTGACCTGGCACAATTCTCCTCTACTTCTCGTACCAATGATTCAAGTCTCACTCTATGTGCCTCTCCCTTGCACACTGGCAGGCTTCCAACAGGAGTGCCTTGTGATGTGGACATTTGCTCACTAAGGGTGGGCTTCACAAAAGCACCTAACTCCCATGAACTCAGTGGGAATGAGACACTTAAATACCTTTGTGAACCGCAGCCTACAGGACTGATGTGTGATGTCAAAGGGACATTGCCAGACATTGCCAGACCAGGATTTTGGAACAACCACTAAAGAGAATGCCATCCCTTCGAGACGCCATTCCAGACGTTACACTGAGCCCAGTGTCTGCTTGGGGCGGAACTTGGGGAGTCTTACTTAGCTCTTGGTGACTACTCATAAGAGGAGCAGGTCACCCTGCGCAGAAAGCCTCGTGTGCCACCTGAGTCCCACTTGTATGTAGAACACCTAGCAGCACAATGTGACTCTGCTTATGACTGAGTCCCGGGAGCCAGGACCACTGTAATACAATGCCAATGCCAGGTTCAGGCTTCTGCCTCTGGAACAAGGCTCCCCGCTGCCCATCACTGTGGAATACTGTCCCCTTTAAAGGACCTTTCTGTCACATGTTCTGCGGCGACATGGCTACAGCAACACAGACCTCACAGTACCTGGAGTGCTTTAGAGCAGCCTGTCCAGGCTAGCGCTGCTGACTGCCCACGATTGCACTGAGGGGCACTGGAGTTTGTTGTCCCAGGAGAATGAATTGCTGATGCCCAGTTGTCCTTCATCTATCCCCAGCTGTGCCCATTCCAGATGGAGTCCTGAGGAACTTCTCTCTACTTACTTACTTTGGCTTTCCTCCTCACACCCTCTGGATGAGAGGGCCGTGAATAGGGACCTTCTACGTTATTTTTTTACTGCCTGGCTCTGGGGGTAAGGCTAAGGCTGATTGATTTGAGCACAAACTATACCATGAGCTAAATCCATCCCTGCTGTAACTCCCCTGACCCGAGTGGAGCACTGGGTGCAGCTCATGCAGGGGGCGCTGTGTCCATTGGGGCAGTTAGGAAATGTGTGGACCATTTCCACACATCAGGATTCCAAGCTAATGACTCCTTACATAGCAATAGCAGGATCTCTGACTTGAAGCGACAACTCTAGTAGGACTAGACATCCCCCCTAAGGCTAAGGCCCAGCAGCACCCAGGGAACTCTGTACTTCCTCAGTGAAATAGAAGCACAGGATGAAGGTGGATCCAGATACAATATTGGCAGAGTGAGAGGCAGGACTTACTGCTTCAAAAACACCTCCTGCTTGCCAGTGAACATACAGCACCATCACTGCTGCTCTTAGGGAAGGCAACACACCTGATGGATTGTTGTGGGGCAGAGAAAGGGTCAAGGATATAAAGGACTAAGGGCAGCTCTAGAATGAAGGGGGGGGGAGGCCAGTATCTCCCTGGGTCTGGCCTTTGCACTGCAGTCAGGGACTGAAACTGCTGTTGAACTGTTTCTACCAGGCAGGAGCAGTGGGCGTCAGACCTGGGGCAGTTAGCGGTAAGCTCCTCCCACTGGGCGTCTGTCCTCTGACTCCCAGCTCAGTCAGACTCCTACACAACACTGAGTTTAATTTACTGTACTATGCAAACCCCCGGCTTCCAAGCGCCCTACGGACGGTGAGTCTGTTGGAAGAGGAGGCTAAATAAAACCTTGCTGTCTGCTGATTTCTGTTCCCATTTACAGCCGCTCCATTTAGGCAACAGGAAGTGGCTTTGGCTCTCTGCCCAGGACTAGATTCTGTGTGACACACCCATGGCAAACTGGTTCCTTATGTGTGTGTAAAATCTCATTTCATTACAGCAATAAGAGCACTCAGGCCATGCATCTGAAGGGGACTATTGTACTCCATGAACCACAGGCACCGGCTTCCTCCTTGCTCCGGGGGTGCTCAAGGCCCTCTTAGCCCCAGCCCCCATTCTACCCTAGCCCCCAGCCCCACCCCTTCCTGCCCACACTCCCCCGAGCGTGCCCCGTCCCTGCTCTTCCCCCTCCCCCTAGCACCTTTTGCACACCACGTAACAGCTGATCTCAGCAGGAAGGAGGTGCTGGGAGGGAGAGGGAGGAGAGGGAGCTGGCTGCTGATGGGTGCTAAGCAGCCCTGGAGCACCCACGGAGTTGGTGCTTATGTCTGACGGTTCGAGTAACTTAGCTTTCAGCATCACCTGAGATATGCATCACTGAAGTGGTCCAAGTTCCTGAGGCAACACACACCTACTGTGCACCCCTACGTACCAGGCCTGCTCTTATTGAAGTGCCAAGATTCCAGTGGAACACTGGCAACACCACATTCAACTGCTGCTGGGAGTCAAGGGCTGGGCTAGCAGGGGGCTGCAGGTTGGGAGTGAGGGGCACTGACAGAGCTGTATGGGGAGTCTATGGCTGTGGCAAATCCATCAGCAAAGGGTGGCAAGCAGTGGCATGTCTGAATGCCTGACTGTTGCAATGCACCAGAGCCAGATTCTGATCTTGGTTATGTCAGTATAAAACTAGAGCAACTCCATTTACTGCAGTAAAGTTGTTCTGGATTTATGGTGGTGTAACAGAGAAAAAAATCTGACCCCCAATAGCTTACGCTCAGAGGCCCAGCTCTTGGAGTGCCAAAGTAGCCAATGCTAAGCAACAAGGTCCAGAGCAGCCTGCACAAAAAAGAAAACAGATACTGCAGCTTGCTAGCTAGAGATCCCTTGATTGCCATAAGAGATCAACGTAGAGGCAGGAACCAGCACAGTCAGGCCTTACAGTCACAGGATTGCAGAGAGCAAAGGGACCTACTGTGGAACAACACAGATTGTACAGGAGGGTTTTCACTCCAAACATCAAAAAGAAACTGACCAGGCCAAATAAATGAGGGTTTCTTGAGACAGTAGCTTTTTTTATTGTAAATGTTGCTCTCTCCTGCCAGTGCTGAGCACTGTACCAGCCACAGGGAGCCTGGGAGAAGCTGCCCTCTTTGAGGAACAGGAAACAGGGCTTCCACTGAAGCAATCAGTCAGCCTGCAGTGACTGAATTTTAGAGTGGATTAAGTATGCAGCTGTACAAACATATTGGAAAGTTTATTCTCAAGAAACAGCAAATGTGTCTGACCTGGCCTCCCCGGGGAGATTGGGTTGTTGCCTTTTTTTTTTTAAAGTAAATACAATGTCAAATGTGCAGCATCCCCCTCTCTGCCATGCTTAGGAAGAGCCTCCTCTTCTTCATGTTACTCCAGGGCTTTTTCAGGAAGGCTGTGATGTCACTACTTCTGCAAGCTGCCACTGCACACACCGGGAACCGGAGCTGTTGGAGAAGCCAGTGAAAGTAAGTCAGTCTCGTGCATGGTGCAAATGGCAGCAGGAAGCAGAAAGAGTCTGGAAAGAGGAAAAACTAGGGCATGCCTTCTTCATTAGCATTCCGACGGGAGAGGGAAACCAGCTGTTTGGATACTGGGCAAAAACATTGACAATTTCATGAAAAACCACCAAGTTGTTTCCGTTTCATGAGGTTCAAAATTGAACCGCTTTTCCTATCAATTTTCACAGAATATTTTTAAAAATCTTGAATTTTCAAAATTTCAATTTCCCCCTTTTCCTACAGATTGAAAGAAAGTAAATGATATCTTAGGCAGAGTTGGATTAAGGTTCTCCACCCCTTTCACCTGTGGTCCCATCCCTGTTCTGTCCCTTCCCCCCGCCCCCATGGCCCTGCACCTGTTCCACCCAAAGTCCCATCCCCCCACCCCCATGGCCCTGCACCTGTTCCACCCAAAGTCCCATCCCATTCTGCCCCCCAATGTGGCCCTGAAACCCATTTGCTCCTTTCTGCCCCCCAAGACCACCACAGCCCTGGGCCACAGTGGGGAGTGAGATCTACTCCAGTCCCAGGGCCACAGCTGGATTTGAGCGCTGGGGCTTCCCCCACCACCCAGCGCTTCTGCCAGGGAGCGGGGTTGGGGCACAGGGGCTTCCCCCATCCTGCCCGCCCATCTGGCGCTTCTGCCAGGGCTTCAGGTTTCTGCCACGCAGTGGCAGATTTTTGCCAGGGCCCCTGGACGCAAGCCTCATTGGCCCAGTGGCTAATCCACCACTGGTCTTGGAGGATGGGGGTCTTATTCTTCTTCCCCACCCCATAACTTTTCAAATCTTCCTCTACAGCATGGCAGAATTACAGTTTCCACTGGGCCCTGATGCTCTGAGGTGCTGAGCATCCACAGCTCCCCATGGCTTTAGCTAGAATTATGGGTACTTAGCATTTCTGACGATCTGAGACACAGCTCCTTGAAGGAGGGACTGGCCCTTCTGTCTTGTGCAGCACTGTTTGTGCCCAACAAGTCATTAACAAGGACAGTTACCCACATGCAGGCAGCCAGGGTCAGTGGCTCCTAGTATCCCATGGAATGAGATATTTTACCATGGGGCGGGGAGGTGGGGCCATGAATGAAGAAGCTGTAAAAGAACCACAGCTCTGGGGACTGGACTGGTCTTTCTGACATCAATTGCAGCTTTGGCCTGGTCTACACTATGGGGTTAGGTCGAATTTAGCCACGTTAGGTCGACAACCAACCCCGTTCCGTTGACCTAAATGGCTCTTAAAATCGACTTCTGTACTCCTCCCCGACGAGGGGAGTAGTGCTAAAATTGACCTGCAAGGGGGGAGTCTCACGCAACAGGGAGGAGGATTTTGTGGAGGAGGAGAATGTGCAGCAGGCAAGTGGTGAATCCATTCTCCCCACAGCCAGGACCTTTTCATCACCCTGGAGCCAACACCCTCCCAAGGCGGGATCCCCAAACCCTGAAGCTGGAGAAGGCACCTCTGCTGAATGCACATTTGTAACTACAGTACAGGGTTTAAAAGCAATAGTGTTTAATGTTTAATTTGCCCTGAAGACTTGGGATGCATTCACGGCCAGTACAGCTACTGGAAAAGTCTGTTCACATGTCTGGGGATGGAGAGGGAATCCTCCAGGGACATCTCCATGAAGCTCTCCTGGAGGTACTCTGAAAGCCTTTGCAGACGGTTTCTGGAGAGGGCTGTCTTATTTCATCCTCCACGGTAGGACACTTTACCACGCCAATCCAGTAGCAAGTAGTCTGGAAGCACTGCAGCACAAAGCATGGCAGCGAATGGTCCTGGGTTTTGGTCGCATTCAAGCAACATTCAGTCTATATATTTCTGTGTTAGCCTCAATAGAGTGATATCATTCATGGTCACCTGGTTGAAATAGGGAATTTTTGTAAGGGAACAGTAAAAGGATCCCGTTCATGCTGGGCTGTTTGCACTTGGCTAAAAGGGATCATCCCAGAGAATAGCCACGTGGTGGGGTGGGGGTAGGTGTGTGCTGCACATCTACCCGAAAACCACAGTCCCTCCTTTTAAATGTGAAACCCAACCCATTGCTTGCTCTGGGAAAGGAGGGCGCTGCAGTTTGAAAACATTCCCACATTATGAAGGCGTAAGAAGCCAACCCTGCGTACCAAAAGGCTTACCATGGCTGCCTGGAAACTGAATTCTGTTGCCCAGCCGTGTGTCATGTGTAACCATACTGGCAGGCGCTCAATATAAAAGGCAAAATGCAACCTTGTACCTAAAGCACATGTGCTGTCTGCTGTGAATTGCTTAATTCACTGTGAAAGAGTCTCCCTTTTGTTCTCAGAAATGTATCATCTTAAATTTTACTCTCCCTTTTTATCTCCCTCCAGGTGCAAATGTTTCTACGCTCCCCCTATCATCTCCGTCCCTGAGGTTATCATAAATTAGAAGGCGAAAAAAACCACACTCCCGAGGACATGTTTTCCGAGCTCATGCAGTCCTCCCACACTGATGGGGCACAGCTTAATGCATGGAGGCATTCAGTGGCAGAGGCCAGGAAAGAATTAAGTGAGCGGAGGCAGGACATGATGCTGAGGCTAATGGGGGAGCAAACGGACATGATGAAGCGTTTGTTGGGGGAAGCAAACGGACATGGTGAAGGGTCTGTTGGAGCTGCAGGAAAGCCAACAAGAGCACAGACTCCCACTGCATCCACTGTATAACCGCCTCCCCTCCTCCCCATGTTCCAGATCAGCCTCACCCAGATGCCCAAGAACGCATTGGGGGGGTGATGGGAGGAGGCTGCAGGCACCCAGCCACTCCACTCCAGAGGATGGCCCAAGCAACAGTTTGATTTTTAGTGTGGTTACAATAAACAATGTGGCCTTGTCCTTCCCTCCTCCCCCACCCCACCCGGGCTATTGTCCGTTATCTCATTTTTTTTAATTAATAAAGAAAGAATGCATGGTTTCAAAACAATAGTTACTTTATTTCGAAGGGGGAAGGGTAGCTGGCTTACAGAGAATTAAAATCAACAAAGGGGGCGGGTTTGCATCAAGGAGAAACACATACAATGAAGCCTGGCCAGTCATGAAACTGGTTTTCAAGGCCTCTCTGATGCGCAGCACGCCTTGCTGTGCTTTTCTAATCTAATCTAATGTCTGGCTGCTCAAAATCGGACACCAGGCGATTTGCCTCAACCTCCCACCTCCCATAAACATCTCCCCCTTACTCTCACAAATATTATGGAGCACACAGCAAGCAGCCACAACGTTGGTTGTGCTGAGGTCTGATCTACTCAGCAAACAGGGCCAGTGAGCTTTTAAACGTCCAAAGGCACATTCTATCACCATTCTGCACTTGCTCAGCCTATAGTTGAACTGCTCCTTACTACTGTCCAGGCTGCCTGTGTATGGCTTCATGAGCCATGGCATTAAGGGATAGGCTGGGTCCCCAAGGATAACTATAGGCATGTCAACATCCCCAACAGTTATTTTCTGGTCTGGGAAGTAAGTCTGGGAAGTAAGTCCCTTCTTGCAGCTGCTCGAACAGCAGCGACATTCCTAAATATGCGAGCGTCATGCACCTTTCCTGGCCATCCCATGTTGATGTCAGTGAAACGTACCTTGTGATCCGCCAGTGCTTGCAGCACCATTGAGAAGTAGCCCTTGCGGTTCATGTACTGGTTGGCAAGGTGGTCCGGTGCCAAGATGGGGATATGCGTTCCATCAATCATCCCACCACAGTTAGGAAACCCCATTGCAGCAAAGCCATTCAGTATGACCAGCACATTTCTCAGAGTCACTACCCTTGATAACAGAATGTCAATGATTGCATTGGCTACTTGGATCACAGCAGCCCCCACAGTAGACTTGCCCACTCCAAAAACTGATTCCCGACTGACCGGTAGCAGTCAGGCATTGCAAGCTTCCACAGGGCTATCGCCACTCGCTTCTCAACTGTCAGGGCAGCTCTCATCTTGGTATTCCTGTGTATCAGGGTGGGGGAAAGCAACTCACAGAGTTCCAGGAAAGTGGCCTTACGCATGCAAAAGTTTCGCAGCCACTGTGAATCATCCCATACCTGCAACACTATGCAGTCCCATCAGTCTGTGCTTGCTTGCCTGGCCCAGAATTGGTGTTCCATTGTATCAACCAGCCCCACTGCCGCCATGATATCCCAATTGCCACAGCCCGTGCTTTCAGGAACGTCTGTGTCCACGTCCTCATCAAAATCCTCCTCGTGCTGGCGTCTCTTAGCCCGGTTCTGCATATACTCCAGGATAATGCGCAAGGTGTTTACAATGCTCACAACAGTAGTGGTGACGGTGAGCTGAGTGGGCTCCATGCTTGCCATGGTATGGCGTCTGCACGGGTAACCCAGGAAAAAAGGCGCAAAACGATTGTCTGCCGTCGCTTTCACAGAGGGAGGGGCGACTGATGACATGTATCCAAAACCACCCGCGACAATGTTTTTGCCCCATCAGGCATTGGGAGCTTAACCGAGAATTCCAATGGGCAGCGGAGACTGCTGGAACTGTGGGATAGCTACCCACAGTGCACCGCTCTGTAAGTCGATGCTAGCCACGATAGCGAGGACGCACTCCGCCGACTTAATGCGCTTAGTGGGGACATATGCAATCAACTGCATAAAATCGATTTCTAAAAATCGACTTCTATAAAATTGACCTAATTTCATAGTGTAGACATACCCTTTGTTACCTCTTTCCTGCTGTTCTCCAGTCCCCCCTGCTGGCGACTCCTAGCTCCCAGCACTGGCTTCTAGTGCTGATTTCAGCTTTGCCTTCACTGGAACAAGCCAAGAGCACAGTGCACAGCTCTGCTTCTTTTCCTCCTGCAACGTGTGGTCTGTTCTCCAGGCACTGCCTCCCCAGAGCTCAGTTATAGATGCCCTTGCAAACGACTTCCCACGCTGACTCAGTACCAAGGGCTGTGGAAACGGTGCCCAACTTGCTGCTGAGCAGATGGTTGCGTCAGCTACAAGTCTTCCCATTGCATGCCATGTCAGCTGGCAAGCCACATTCAGCAGCAGGGTAGGGCTGGGTGGAGCGGCTCTTACTAAGTGAGAATTACTCACAATGAGGGAACTCCCCCGTGAGCAGCTAACCCCAAGCTGGGGGAGTAGATCAGAGTGAACAGGCATGTATGGCAACAGCTGCATTGCCCTCTGAGCAACACCAGGGTCTCCAATTCATGCATGCTCCTAGGCAGGTGCCCTTGAGGGGGGGAAATGGGTAAAGGGGACCCCTTCTCCCCTCCCCCTCCCAGAGCATGTTTGCAGATGGCAAGTGTAATTTGGTTGCTAGTGCTCTGGAAGTGCTGGGAGTAGGGGGAGGAGGGACCAGTCTGGCCAGCACTAACTGGCCAAGGGGGGATGTGTTGAGGCACTAGCATGAGCGCTGGGGAGAGCGCTGTAGAATAGCTAAAGCAACTGCTGTAGGCACCCCCAGCACTCCTGCCACATGACACTTGCTGTGCCTTCTGCAGGCATAATGCTCCCCACATTGGCATGGTGCTGGTTCACAGAGACCACCGATGTGAAAGCTGGAAGGAATCCATTGGTTCATCTAGCCCCCTGCCACAGCAGGCCTACCCCCTCAAAAGTAACCTTTAGGGCCTGGCTTTAACTGAAAGGTTTCCGTTGTCCTGAGTTCTGGCAGCAAGACAGATTTGATTAGCGTCTGGGGCAGCAGAGTCAGTAGTTAGAAATTCAAGGCCCTACAGAGACTGCTGTGAAACCAGCTGTGCTTCCAGCTTCAGCCCATCTCCCAAAGGGTCTGATGGTTCCATTTCGAGACAGGTGAAACAATCATGGCCATCGAGCCAAGGAAGTTCATCTGTTTCTGGTCACTAACAAACACGCTGGCTCTTGCTGCTGCTTGTGCTTGGCTGTATCGGTGCTGGTTTCCCCTAGGCAAAGGGGCATCAGAGGCTCTGAGCGAGTGGATGGCTCAGACTGTTCTCCTGCTCAGTGTGGGGGAGCTAATTGGAGATTGGTTTAATCCATTTGCAGCCTTTGAAGTGAACAAGCAGATGTCTGAAGTGGCTCCCTTTAATCTTTACACAGCTGCTCTGGGTCACCCTCCCATCAGCCAATGCCTCCACCAGTGCCTGCTGTGGTTGGGCTGCGAGTTCAGACAGCCTGCAGCCAGTTCCCCCTCAGACCTGGTGATGGTCTGAGTCCCTAACAGGCCTTCTTAGAAATCACCCAGAAGGGAAGAGAAATGCAAACTCCCCCCACCCCAAAATAGGGTGGTATATGGCATCACCCGCCATCCCTCTCTAGGAGCCCCCCTGCAAGTCTGGGCAGGTGGGGGCAAAGCAGTGACATGTCTGGGCAGATGCAGGAATCTTCATGGCCCCATCTCTCTTCCCCGCAGTCCTATATTGCAGGGCAATATAATGTGTTACTGTCAGCTCCACTTACACACATTCTCCCCATGCTCTGAAATGCCTTCAGGGGGCAATTTAGGTCAATTCTGGCAAGGAAGAATGGGCAGCTGGACTCCTGAGGAAGCTGTCCTGAATTGTGCCATGACCACTGGTAGAAAGGACTTCTATGACATTCTGCCAAGAGCGCCCTATCTCAGATTTGACTGTGGTCAGCGATAAGGTCCCCACTATTCACCAAGTCCATCCAAGCAGCCTCTGAAAGGTTCTTGAGCCTAAATAACACTATAAACCCACTCCCATCTGCAGACAAAGTGTAATACCCTAGTTCCACTAATAGCTGCTGACTGCAATATGGTTCATGAGTCTTATATAAGCAGAGGGAGAGAGCAGGTCCACGTTCTTGGCCAGACTGATCCCTGGTGTAACTCCACTAGAGTCGCATTGCTTCTGTCTGTGTGAAACTGCCAAGGGGCAGACTGGAGATGCAGGGGACTACAGTTACTTTAGTCAAGCTCCACCCACAACCCTAGACTCCTCCCCCATAGTGTCAGAGTAGATGTTTCTGCTAAAATGACCAGCTGTGAAATAGTTAATAATGTTGATTTTAATTTATCAACATATGACTTCCTCGTGAACACCCCACCCTCAGCTCTCCAGATTAAATGGTGACACCCCGCCCACACCCCCACATAAACCCAACTCACTGGGCTTTCAGTGGAGGATCCAAATGGCCATTCTTGTGGGCTCAAACTGATCCACGGGCCTCTCTCTCTGTTCTGTCGAAGTGGCTCAGAGCAGGTTACTGCTGCCCACAGATGAGAGAAGAGATCCCAGGATGTTGCCGTTCAGGGTTGGCCCACAGAAAGGAGACGGGATCTACTGCAGCTTTCAGCTCGAGTGATAAGTTTGGAATGGAAGAAACAGGCTTCTAGCCCTAGCTCCACAGAGTTATGTGTCTGATTTATGTGGTAACTGTGTCCATTGTCTTTACAGTACATGGGTGAGTTACAAGCAGGAAGTACTTTACTCGCCATCTTTAGCTCAGCCGAGTGGATGGAGCTATAGGAAGAGCTAACAGGAAACACTTACCAGGAACCCCTCTAGATTTGATCAGCCTCAGACTGAACAGTCATTTCAGACCTGCAAGAATAAAACAAACAATAAGTGGCAGGACAGCAATTCGCATCAGCAGGAAGAGTAGAAAAAATACCCTGGGAAAGAATTTTGCTGGACAGCCCTAGAGGAGAGCTCCACTGAGCACACTTTGATTAGCTGAGAGTATTGTTTCCAGCTCCTAAGGGGGAGATGTTATTTGACATTTTGACCTAGTTCTTACTGAGTCTCAGAGCCATGACTTTAACACCAGTGCCTCAATTCTGACCATAGTGGCGTAACTCTGGATTTACACCAGTGTAACTGACCACAGTGTGCTGACTCTGCATTTACACTGCTGCAACAGATCAGAAGCAAGCCCTGCTAGTGCACATACCTGCAAACAGCCAGCCATTATGGCTCAGATTTTCAAAACCAGTAATTGCATGTGGATGCTCAATTCCTGTTAATTTTAGTGGTAACTGGGTGTCCAAATATTCTAGGTTGCCTTGTAAGTCTGAGTCCGTATCTCCAACCGTAGCTTACCCACTGCCTGGACATTAGCACTTATTTCAGTGCTGGTCAGAACATCAGGGCTATCCCCTGCTCTGTTTGGGGAGCACTGCAAGATCTCTGATTTAAGTGCCACTAGGCCCAGGTGGAAGGGACTCAGAGTTCCCTGCTCTCAGTCCCTGTGGGATGGAATATTTGCATTTACTGTCTGTAACTCCTGTTTACTATGTCCTTAAGGCAAACAGCCCAAGTTCCCAGCACTTCTGGCTATTCCCTACCCCCATCCAGTCAATCCTAAGCATGTCCCTGTGCTCAGTCCCAGCCTTGTGCCCGGGGACTCATGTCCAAATCATACTTTGGAAGAGTGGATCCCAGAAGGATGCCTTCCCATGAGGTGACTGATGTGGGTTGGTGTTATTAACCAGTCCTCAGTACCCGTGCAGTGTGCCCAGCATCCCACATCCTTTCCTCACCTTGTAGCTACTGGGATATGTAACGCTCAGGAAATAGGCTGTATTAATAAACCAGCGGGTAGGTGTTTCACATGTTTCAGGATGGTTATTTCAGCAATTGAAATTACCTTCCACTGAAGGGCTGGGGGACAGATCTGCACCCTTCCACTCTGAACTGAGGGGCACTCACTAGCTTGCCAGGTGATGACAGCATTCCATGCTTCTAAACATGAGATCTTGGTCTGAGTCTACCTGCCTTCTTGTTCAGCAGGCTTGCAGGATCAGGAGGACAGAGATGGGGACTCTTGATAATTAACAGCAACCCACTGGGGTTTTTAGTAGTAGTAGCCCATTCAGCCCTCTTCAGTTGTAAGGATCCTACAACACAGGATCATGTCAGGGATTTATAGTGTCTGTAGGTGCAGGGGGAGATAAAGGTAGAATCTCAAAATTATGCTGAGTGAAACAGAAGGTGAACGCTGGCTATATGTGTGTCTTTCAACTCTTAGGCCCTGCCTACACTAGGTCTCAAACGGGGACGGGGCATACCCTTGTGGCTAAAACACAGGCCAGGGAGTCAGGAATGCTGGGTTCTAGTCCCATCCTGCCTGTGACTTTAGGCAAGTCATGTAATCTCTCTGGGATCAATTTCCTTAATTGTAAAATGGGGAAAATTCTATTTCAGAGGGGAATGTGAGACTTGATTTATTAATGTTTGTAAAGAACTTGGACACCAGTGGAGGAAGGTGCTAGAGAAGTGTATAGTGCTATTTAAATAGACTTTACTGAACCATTTTAACAAGCAATTTAAATATAACTGCAGCTAAAATTATTTAAAAACATGGATGAGGCCAATGTGGTTCAGTACTATTTAGAAAAGCTGGACAAGCACAAGTACATGCGCTGCAGCCGAAGGTGCTAAAGAAGTTGGCGGATGTGATTGCAGAGCCATTGGCCACTATCTTTGAAAACTCATTGAGATTGGGGGAGGTCCCAGATGATTGGAAAAAGGCTAATGTAGTGCCCATCTTTAAAAAAGGGAAAAAGGAGGATGCGGGGAACTACAGGCCAGTCAGCCTCACCTTAGTCCCTGGAAAAATCATGGAGCAGGTCCTCAAGGAATCAATTTTGAAGCACTTAGAGGAGAGGAACGTGATCAGGAACAGTCAGCATGGATTCACCAAGGGCAAGTCATGCCTGACTAACCTAATTGCCTTCTATGATTAAATGACTGGGTCTGTGGATGAGGGGAAAGCAGTAGACGTGTTATTTCTTGACTTTAGCAAAGCTTTTGATATGGTCTCCCACAGTATTCTTGCCAGCAAGTTAAAGAAGTATGGGCTGGATGAATGGATAAGGTGGATAGAAAGGTGGATAGAAAACTGGCTAGACCATCGTGCTCAATGGGTAGTGATCAATGGCTCTATGTCTAGTTGGCAGCCGGTATCAAGCGGAGTGCCCCAAGGGTCGGTCCTGGGGCCGGCTTTGTTCAATATCTTCATTAATGATCTGAAGGATGGCGTGGATTGCACCCTCAGCAAGTCTTCAGATAACACTAAACTGAGAGGAGTGGTAGATACGCTGGAGGGTAGGGATAGGATACAGAGGGACCTAGACAAATTAGAGGATTGGGCCAAAAGAAACCTGATGAGGTTCAACTAGGACAAGTGCAGAGTCCTGCACTTAGGATGGAAGTATCCCATGCACTACTACAGACTAGGGACTGAGTGGCGAGGCAGCAGTTCTGCAGAAAAAGACTTAGAGGTTACAGTGGATGAGAAGCTGGATATGAGTCAACTGTGTGCCCTTGTTGCCAAGAAGGCTAATGGCACTTTGGGCTGTATAAGTAGGGGCATTGCCAGCAGATCGAGGGACGTGATCATTCCTCTCTATTCGGCATTGGTGAGGCCTCATCTGGAGTACTGTGTCCAGCTTTGGGCCCCACACTACAAGAAGGATGTGGAAAAATTGGAAAGAGTCCAGCGAAGGGCAACAAAAATTACTAGGGGGCTGGAGCACATGACTTATGAGGAGAGGCTGAGGGAACTGGGATTATTTAGTCTGCAGAAGAGAAGAATGAGGGGGGATTTGATAGCTGCTTTCAACTACCTGAAAGGGGGTTTCAAAGAGGATGGATCTAGACTGTTCTCAGTGGTACCAGATGACAGAACAAGGAGTAATGGTCTCAAGTTGCAGTGGTGGAGGTTTAGGTCGGATATTAGGAAAAACTTTTTCACTAGGAGGGTGATGAAGCACCTGAATGGGTTACCTAGGGAAGTGGTTGAATCTCCTTTCTTAGAGGTTTTTAAGGTCAGGCTTGACAAAGCCCTGGCTGGGATGATTTAGTTGCGGGATTGGTCCTGCTTTGAGCAGGGGGTTGGTCTAGATGACCTCCTGAGGTCCCTTCCAACCCTGATATTCTATGATTCTAAATCCTATTATAAACCATTTTAGATACTGTGAGCTAGCACATCGGGGTCTAAAATGGCTTCGAGTAGCAGAATTTGACTCCATCCACCTTGCAGAGCCAAACCACAGCTAAGCCATTTTAGTTGGCATCATACATGTATATATACACACTATATGCACACAGAACGTACTTTCCATGTTACAAAATACACAGTATACACATTTTACATTATATGTATGTTCGCATGTACATACACATACTTATTTATATCTACTTGTACTCTAACCTTACATGGGCATAACCCCCACTGACGTCAAAGAAAGATGCACCTGTGTTAAAGCAGGTGGAATTGGGCCCAGGGTTTTATATACAGTATGTGTACACAGACACAAACACATGCACAATTTCATGCAAAAGAAGAGCACTAATTCAACATTCAATTTGAGAAATCATGCTCTTAAAAATCATGAAATGCTAAAAGTTTTTTATTATTAAGGGCAAAGAGCAAACTATCCCACTGTGTAGGAAAGATAGGAAGTATGGCAAGAGATCTTCAGTGATATAAAACTCAAAAAAGAGTCCTACAAAAAGTGGAGACTTGGTCAAATTACGAAGGATGAATATAAACAAATAACACAAGTATATAGGGAGAAAATCAGAAAAGCCAAGGCACAAAATGAGATCAAACTAGCTAGGGACATAAAAGGAAACAAAAAAACATTCTACAAATACATTAGAAGCAAGAGGAAGACCAACGACAGGGTAGGCCCGTTACTCAATGTGGGGGAAAGACAATAACAGAAAATGTGGAAATGGCAGTGGTGCTTAATGACCTCTTTGTTTCAGTTTTCACTAAGAAGGTTGGTGGTGACTGGACGTCTAACATAGTGAATGACAGTGAAAATGAGGTAGGATCAGAGTCTAAAATAGGGAAAGAACAAGCCAAAAATTATTTAGACAAGTTACATGTCTTAAAATCACCAGGGCCTGATGAAATGCATCCTAAAATACTCAAGGAGCTGACTGACGAGATATCTGAGCCATTAGCAATTATCTTTGAAAAGTCATGGAAGACGGGAGACATTCCAGAAGACTGGAAAAGGGCAAATATAGTGCCCATCTATAAAAAGGGAAATAAGGACAACCCGGGGAATTACAGACCAGTCAGTTTAACTTCTGTACATGGAAAGATAATGGAGAAAATCATTAAGCAATCAATTTGCAAACACCTAGAAGATGTCGAGGCCAGGGAGACCATATGGAACTTCAGCTTCTTCATGAACTTGTTGAGGTTCCACAGGTCTACGATGGGTCTGAGATTCCTGTTGGCCTTGGGGATCAGGAAGTAGAGTGAGTAGACCCCCTTGCCTCTTAACTCCAAAGGAGCCTCTTCCACAGCTCCCACCTTTAGAAGCCACTGTACCTCCTGGGCTAGAAGCCGCTCATGAGAAGGGTCCCTGAAGAGGGAATGGGAGTGAGAATATGAAGGAGGGGAGGAAATGAACTGCAGGGTATATCCCACTTCTACCATGCAGAGTACCCAGCAATCCAAAGTGATGTTGATCCACACACGGTAAAAATGGGACAAACGGTCCACAAACGTAGGGGTAAGATCCAGCCTTGTTCTGGTGTGCCATCTTCGGGTGCACCCTCATAAGGGCTGCTTAGACCCC